TGCGATCATGTTCAAACTTTGACCCGTGACCACAATAGTCCCAACTAAAAGCACGCATGAGCAGAAGGAAGTGTGACAAACCTAAAGATATGTTATGACTTATGTGCAGATAAATTTTGACTTACCCTCGTAATATTATATTAGTCATATGAATAACAAGCAGGAAACATTATGTGTAACGTGTTTCGTCTTCTAGACATCATCTGACTAAATTAATGCTTTCGCTGGAGTTATTTATGTGTCGGACAGGGAGGATGTAAAATAGATGTATGGGTTACAATTACTTATTGAGAGAAAAAACTGAGGATATTAGAACACTGAATTTTAAAATTAAATTTTAAATTTAATAATAATAATTTAAATTTAATATGAAAAATGTAATGATAATAATGATAATTTTAAATTTAATGATAATTAATATAATAAAACAATTTCAGTATGTAATAAATTTAATAACATTAATGATAATTTAATATGAAAAAATTAACAATAATTTATATAATGATATATATTTCTAAATTAAATTTAATAATAATGCCTTTAATATAAAAATTTAATAATAAAAATTTCATTATTTTAAAAAACTTAATAATGTTAGATATAATAAAATATATTTAATAATGATAATTCTAATATTAAATATAATAATAATAGTTGTAATATGTCATATTTAATAGTATAAATTTAAATTTAATAAATGTAATAATAATAATTTTCATAAAAATTAATTTACTATCATAAAATCAATACAATAAATTTAATAATCCTAATATATTTAATGATATATTTAATAACAAAAATAATTATGAATTTAATAATTATATATCTAATATTAAATTTAATATAATCAATTTAATGTAATGCTTTTAATAATAATATTTTAAATTTAATAATAATTAATTTAATATCATATAGTTGATGTATTAAAACTAAAAATACATTTACTATAATTAATTTTCTATAATAAATTTAATAAGAATAAATTTAATAATAATAATAAGTAAATTTTATAGTAATTTTAAATTTAAATTTAATGACATAAATTTAAGGACATAATTCTTATAATACTACTACAAATAATGATAATCTATTTAATAATAATATTTTTAAACTTAAGTTTAATAACAAGTAATTAAATATCATATATTTAATATAATAATCTAATAAAAATAAATTTGATATAATTAATTTTATATAATACATTTAATAATAAATATAATAATAATAATAATAAAATTGAAATAATAATAGAAGCAACAATAATAATAATAATCATTCAAATTTAATATAAATTTAATAACAGAAGTTTAATAATTATTAGAATAATTATAATAGATTTAATAATAATAAAAATAAGATCAATGAACAATATTTTTAATATTCGCTGCCCATGGCATGTTTTATTTGGGTTGCATAACGGAAAAATGAAATAAAATATTCGGTGGCCACAGGTATGATGTCAGACAACAGTTTGGCATCAACGCATCTTGCATTACGTTTTTATTGCAAACAACTGTAATTTCGACAAGCATTTTAAGGTGCACATTCCGAAAGATATTCAGAAGCTACCGACATTGCGACCCTTAAAATGCATGAGTATAGTATGTATTCAAATTACTAATCTCTCGTCCCGGGGGAATGGACAGAATGATAAGAGAGTTCCGCAAGTTTCATATTAAGCTATTCGTCTTAGTAACAAATCAACTAACAGAAAATTACAAAATGAACAAGAGCACCATCATATTACGCACGTTCCATTTGCATGCCTTGACGCGGGTGACGTTTTATTCGTTTTGATGCGTTGTTTACCAGTACGGCCGTTTTTTTTTTGTTTTGTTTTTTTCATTATAAGACAAGCATTGTTTGTACAAAGAATTATAATTTTTGGCAGATTTTTTATATTTTTATAGATGAACTTTTAAAAAATACAAGTTAAAAAAGACATATACTGGGAAGAGTTTTTAACATTGTCAAACACTGTTTTATTTTTCTTTTCGTGAATCGCGTTCTTCACTTAAGTGTTAAATTTACTTTTAGTAATAATAATTTTAATATCATACACCATTTGTTACTGTAGATGTTTCTTCATGCTGGCACTAGAAATATTTCAGTTAACCCTTGTATCATTTTATTTACATCTCATATTTTTATACAATCTAGTTCTATTGAATAGCGTCAAGCGGAATGAGAAAGTCAAATTTTATTGATTGAACAAAGCGTTCAGATAGAAATTCCAAGATTGTTATGTAGGTGAAGAACTTGCAGACCACAATAGATTACATTAGTTGAACATATCAATGTAGGGCGGCTACTGGTACCAATTTTCGACTCATAATCAAATAATCCGTTTGCACCACCAAACCTTTTTGACGAAGACGGTAGCTAGACCCCGATATGATTAAGGTCAATATATGTAAAAATGGGGATAACACAATTTTAAATTTAACTGGGTTCTTTAACTGTATATGGAACATCGATGACCAGGGTGGTGAGTTTACCTGGTGAAATCAACAGCCACGTGGGCAAGGTTGAAATGATTCTTCAAATTCAAAGTCATCGGCAATGATTTCATCTGGAGAAGATGGGTTCCTCTAAGACTATTTGTCCAAAAATGCTTCTTATGAAGTTGAATGTTTATTGTCTTATTGGATCTTAGTGGCTTTATTGATTTGCTTGAGGTGGAATGTTTAAAACAATGAACTTCTCCGACTTTCAACACAGATATGTGGATGGAACAGGTTGCGTGCCGACCATCAGCCATACACGGTCTTGGTGAATCAAAGTAAAAAGTCATAACTTACTATTATCTATAAATAACTGTAAGGTTATCAAAAAAAAAATCAGTTACGTATAGTGGACACAGATAAAACAATTACGGAAAATTTATCTGGTTAGTTTAGTATATGGAATTTAAAAGGTATCGTATTGGTGTATTGTAGGTTTGTGGTGTTCACATGTGAACAATTAAAATTAGAAGCAGGCTTAAACTTGGGTTTATACAAAGGAGCATTTATTACTTTTTATAATGGAATCAGCAGAGAAAGAGATTTGTCAATGTCTCATGTAGTTTTCCTTTCTTTTTCTGGGGGGGGGGGGTCCAGAAGTTAGCGTACGAATCGTTATAATGATTGAGCTGAAGTCAGCCTTGCGCAAAGTTGAAACAGCCAAAGAAAAGTTTGTACTTATTTCATCGTTGGAGAGACGACATACATAGAGTTGTCGTGCTGAGTTGGAATGACTCAAGAAAAGGTTTATTTACTTCATAGTTGGAGGTTTTGGAAGACACGTGCAAAAGACATGCGTTGAAAAGTGGAAAGCGAATTTAATCTTCTGTTAACAGGGAAAAATAATATGCCCCGGCGTGGGACGTCTTTTTTCCAATTTTGTTATATCTTGGAGCAAGAAGAAGAAAGAGGAATGAAATGTTTATCTTTTTATGAGCTTAAACATCGCCAAATTGGTTAACATATATTTCGGTTTCTTAAGTAGTAACATCATGTGGAAATGTTTTTCTCTTTTTTCTGTTTTGATTATTCATTATCCTTATTTTATTTATTAGATTTATTTAATTTTCCCTCATGTAATATAAGGGAATGTATGAGACGCAAATCCGAAAAGCGCATACGAAAAGCGAAACATGTTTTTTTTAAGAAATTGAGCAAAGTATTAAGTGATTTTCAAATATCCCGAGAAAGAATGAAACGCATGATGGAATGTTGTGCCAAATATTCTGTATGGAAGTGAATATCCTGCAATTCTCCCAAAGATAATGAAGACTGTAAGCGTCAGCGCTGTGGTTCTACAGGCGATGCTGAGAATTCCACCGTCGAGAAAAATAAATTTAATGATAAATAGGAACAACAAAGGGGTTGCTGCTATAAAGCAGGATTGACAGCTAGAATTTAAGAGACATATTATGCGGCAAGTAGGCTTGGAGAATTAAACAGACACATGTCGAGGTTTAGAAACGGGAAACAGCATGTAATCGACGTACCTATTAAGCAAATAGAGAGCAGAAGGGGGGGGTACAAAGAAAATGAGTTGTTAAAAGAAGACAAAGTGAATGTAGTATGTGATTTGTACCATAAAATAACAGAAGTCTTATTTGAATGTAATGTCTCTCAGGAAACATTGCTCTAGGAGAAATTGATCTAGGTTGAGCTAATATTCACATAGCGCACACTAAGCGATACCAAATTAGGCTGAATATCAAAAGATCTTAGCACATCAGAGGATTGACATTAAAAGATCCCATATAGACGCCAAGTATATAATCGGGCCTGAAAAACTATCACTAGCTAGACTGACATATTAACAGAAAGTAAACCCAACTGAAATAAATTAACACGTACACTCAATAACAACAACACCAAGCAGATGGCATGAAGTTATATAAACGCCTGACCAGCGAGAGAAAATTGAGAGACACTGAGATATTCTTTAGAAGATCGATGTTGGATAAAATCCCCGAACCTCATAGCTTAACGACTGATGCTAATCAGAGAGTTCAGAAGCGAATAAAACATTTCATATCTGAAAAATTTACATACGAAAGATTTAAAGGAACACATGGCGAACCATTATTACATAGGTCATGAAATATTGGTGCATATTAAAAATGGACATTAAATACCAAGTGTAGATAAATTATGATACGAAATCATGGAGCACTCAGTGAGGATCGAACTCATTACATAATAAAGTAGCGAGATAAGTTTGCTAATTAATTAATGTTCATTTCTTTATCTGATTCTGTTGGCGACTTCCTTGTATACACCGTTTAGTCATTTAACTGATTTTCTCTTCCTTCCAACATTGTTTTTAGGTTCTTTTTCTATCGACAATTTCGATTTCTTCTGCTACACGAGAACAACACTATTTCTATTTTCTACATCTTGTCATTTCTTATCATCTCATTTCTACATTCTCATCTTCTCTTCCTTTGCCCTCACCTATTTCTTAGCTGTATACACAAATTCCGCCAATTTCTTCCTCTTAACATGATTTACACGCTGTTTCTACCCTGTTACCTTTCTCCAAACTCTCCATATTTTTTCCATACATTCACATTATTCGTGTCTTTGTTATCTATCTATCTATCTATCTATCTATCTATCTATCTATCTATCTATCTATTCTATTTTTATCTATCTATGTTTCTATCTAATTGTATTCATATCTATGAATTTATCTACTTAATTGTATTCATATCTATGAATCTATCTATCCTATTGTATTCATATCTATCTATCTATCTATCTATCTATCTATCTATCTATCTATCTATTCTATTCATATCTATCTATCTATCTATCCTATTCTATTCATATCTATCTATCTATCTATCTATATATATATATATATATATATATATATATATATATATATATATATATATATATATATTTTTTACCCGGTTCTTTTTCCTTCTTATAGTTACTGATAATTTTGCCACTTCCGGTTAA